AAGTTAATATCTGTACTGTGGTTATATAAGAGAAAAAATTTTATTCTTAGGAAATACACAATAAAGTATTAGTGGCAAAGGATTGTAATGTATCCTCAAATGGTGCAGAAAAAAATGTGTATGTTGGTGGGAGCAAATAATACTGCAACTGGAATAAAATGTTAATAACATGTAATTTGGGTAAAGGAAATACAGGTATTCTTTGTACTGTTTTTATACTCGCAACTTGTAAGTCTGAAATTGTTTCCACATCAAAAGGTTTAAATAGCCAGGAAGACTTTTCTCTCCTGGCAGTGGAGAGATGTGTGAAAATAGGTCAGGGTGAATGCTGAGCGCGCACGTGTGTGCACTGTCTGCACCTGGGAGTCTCCACGTGTTCCACAGAGTGCTTCGCCCCTGCTGCACTTGCCCTCAGGCCCTGTGCCCTACCCAGTGCGGGGCCACAGACCCGTCACACCCAAGCGGAAGGAGGTGGCGCCCTCGGTGCTGCCCCGAGGCTGTGCCTACTCTGGCTGGGGCTGCGTGGATGTGGAGTAGCATGTCCAGCCTGGGCTTCACTGGACTCTGAGAGGCTTCCCAGCCTTGCAGGTCTCACTTCCACACCAAGGGTTCACCACTGCCTGCCTCAGCAGGGCCACTCTGTTTCCAAGTTCTCTGCATGTACTGGAGAGGGGGAGAAAGGAGGGACAGGACTCATATTTATTGAGAGCTCAATTCATGCCAGGCCTCTATGCTTTCCGTGTTGTCTTATTTAAAGCATGAAGGGTAAACCGAGACCCAGAGAGCTCTGAAAATTCTGCAAGTTCCTAGAGCAAACAAGGGGCAGACGCAAAGCCAAGCCTAGACTCCCTTCCCGACTTCCACCAGACACTCTTGCTTCAGATACTGAGCACCTCCCACCCTTCTCTCCTTTCTTGCTGTCTGATTTGAGGTCAAAGTCTGTCTTCATCCCAGAAAATGAAACCAAATCATTACTAACAGGAATGGATCCAAAAGACTTAGTTAACTTTGGAAAACACCAGTGGGGCTGCCATCAGCCCTATTTTTTGAGGCCATGGTGATGCTTGGAATCCCCTGAAAGGACAGGAAAATCTCTTGTCTTTGCTTTAACCTGCTAAGGTCAACACTGTTTTTCGAGCTAGGTCTCAACTCGTGGGCACTGTGTAGCCAGAGACCCCGGCACACATCTGGAACCTGCAGTGGGCAACTGTTTAAAGGGAGTTGAGGCCACCAGAGAGGGATGAGAACCAGTTCTCAGCTATAAGGATGTGGGTGGCGAGGGCTCGCTCAGGTACTGCCAAGGGCAACTTGCATGGTGGGAAGGGAGAAGGGTAGAAGTTCCTGGCCAGTGCCGCTTTGTCCCCTGCTCTCCCCTCTATTTTCCTGACCTTCCAGCCTCTGCACTCACCCTTTATCCCATCTCAAAGGCCCCCTGTTAGCTGAAGAGGCACAGGAGAGTTGCTGAGAAGAGGCTGTGAACCTGGAGCTGCCCACAGCTATCAGACAGGAAGAGGTGCCTACTGGGACATCAGGTCAGAAGCTGAGCAGAGTGATAACGTCACTTGAGCCCTGGGATCCAGCTGTGCCTAAAACCCTGTGCTTTGTAATGAGATGAATACAAGTATTTGCATTTCTGCTTAACAAATTTCCAATTGCATTTCTGCCACTTACAAGAACATGAAAAATAACCCTAACTGAAACAGCCTTGGCTTCTCTGGTATGATTTTCACCCTACATCCTCTATGACAGTCCAGGTGGGCTGCAGGGAACTTCAGAACAGAGCCACCGGACACGGTGAATCCAGAAGCTGGAGAGATCCGGGGAGAGAAAGAGAGCTGGCCAGCCTCTGCCTCAGGAGGCCTCAGCCCCAGGAAGGGGGAAGATGCTTGCGTCTGACTTATGTCCCTGGAGCTCTGCAGGGAGCACAACTACCTATGGGTTATTTTTTTTTTTTTTGAGGCTGTCCCAAGTCATGGTCTGTCTACATGCCAGTGTAGTATGGGTATTATTTAATTAATTAATGCCCACAGCACTGAGAGTGATACTACAGGTGCCATTTTCTGGATAAGGAACTGAATGCTCCCAGTGGTGAAGCCACATAACTAGTAAGTAGCAGAGCAGAAATTCAAACCTAGTACATTGGACTCCAAACCTATGCTTTTAACCACTGCCCTATACTTCCTCCAAGATGAATCAATTGGCTATATGAAGAATTAATAGTATTTTTTCTGTTGGTGGAGCCCTTAGAGAGTTTACAAAACACAACTGAATGTGTACTTTCACTACATCTATTTTACAGAAATGGAAACTGAGGCTCAGAGGGAGGAGTTGTCCAGTCATTTAGGCAAACTGGGTACACCTACCAGAGTTGACGCTCCTCAAACTGAGCATCCAGTCTGTATTCTGCAGAAACTTAGACCACATTGACCTATGCTTAAGGGCAGTGATGGCATCAGTCTGCTCAAGCAAGGGCTCTGACAAGCGAGGGAACCAATTAGTACTGTGGCCACAAATCCCATTGCAAAACACAAATCCAAAGAGCTCTGAATTCACAAAAAGATTCCCAGCTCCATTCAGGTCCCATTTATTTTTCAGGAACACCTGATATGGCCAAATTCCAGTTCAACCAGAGATTCAGCTTCCTGGTGTTCCCAAGGGGATCTAGCTGTGAAAAGAGTCCCTTTCTTCTATCAGGACATACTCAGCAATAAAGGCTGCAAGACAGGGTTGAGCCACCTCAGGGATCCCATCGCCCTGCCCCCAGCTTCTAGCTGCTTGGCTTTCTCCCTGAGGAAAGAAGCAGTCCCAGCCCAAGCTATACAGCCCTTCACTGTTGGGCCTGTCCTGATGCTGTGCCAACCTCAGAGGCACCTGTCCCAGAGAGACAAGGCAAAGCTGTCTTTCACTGCTCCCTTAGCAACCTGCCCCTGCAGAAGTGACGAGGCGGGGATCCAAGCACTGGGACAGAAGGAGCCAGGGCGGCCATGTCGTTCACTACTAAAAGTATGCCAGGGACAGGAAAGTGAGCGGCAATCCCACCCGCCTCTTCTAGACCCTGCCCTCTACATTTGGGAGCACCGGGGAAGTAAGAGAGGAATCCAGCTCAGGGCTTCCCTGAAGCCAGGTGAGGAGCCTTCTTGACTTGTTTCCCCACGAGCAATCTGTGCTCTAAAATTAGGGCAAGTGTTGAAGGCAGAAGAAGCAGGTTCATGAGATCAAGCCCAGCCCCTCCAGGTCCCAGAAGTAGAATACAGGTTCTAAGGGCAGATCCAGGCTCCACTGCTTGCTTTCCTTGGGGATAACTTCAACTTTCTGTCATACCTGTACTAGTATTTATTGAGAGCCTTCTACGTGTTAAGGATTCAGTAGTAGGCCAAAAATGGACTCAGTCACCTTGGAGTTTACAATCAATGGTGGAGACAAATATTAAACAAACAGTACTGCACAGAGAGTGAAAAATCCAGGAGAGATAGACAGGATGTACAGCATAATTTAAGGAGACCAGTGATAGCTCTCCTAAAGAATCAATAATGGCACTGAGGTCTGGAAGACACACAGGCATTTGCTGGAGGGCATTCCAAGCACAGGCTAGCCATTTGGCAAGAGGGACAATGGCTCACAAGGGCAGAGTGGAGGGGCAGCTGCAGAGAGACCACACAGGAATGTGGGTCTTTCCCTCAGAGCAACAGGACAGCTTCTGAGGCGCTGTGGTACAGCGGTGAGCTGATGGCCTTGGCAGTTTGAGATTATTTTGTTTGGCATTACAGCCAACAATGGAGAGGAAGGCAACCTGGGGACACTGAGGAGGCCAGTAGGAGATCTCATATTTGCCTGTAATACTGGTACAGTGATAACACTATCTCATAAGCTGTTGCCAGTATTCAACGAGCTAACTCACTTTGTTTAATCCAGAACCTGGTTCATAGTAAAAGTTCCGTAAGTGTCCTTATTCCTACTTTTATTGCTGCTTCTCTTCCGAGTCCTGTGAGATGGGGTGGAGAGAGTAGCTGTGGTGGTCCCCAGGGTTGCAAAGTGGTTTGTACCAAGACACGAGTCCAGAATGCCCGAACGGCCCCTTCAGGATGTCTCAAAAGTATGTCTGATTCACGAAGAAAAATGGGTTCTAACTGTTCCCACGAGGATGCTGGAGAGATCGGTGAAAGACTGCCATCCCCAGCCTTTGCTGAGAAAAAACCAGGGCTTTAGGGAGTCCGAAGGGAAGGGTAGGTGCAGGGCTCCAGGTCCTGTGCATTTCCGAGGAGTTGGGGACCCTCTGCCCTGCCAGTCCCGGGCCAGGCCTCAGGTTTCCAACCGGACCGCCCCCCCCCCCGACCCCGGGCTCGGTCGCGCGGGTGCCGGGTCCAGGCAGAGGGTGCCAGGAGGAAGAGGGTCCCCGGAAGGCCGGCTGCAGCCCGCCCGGCCGGGCTGCCCCTGCCCCAGTCACGTGGCCCTGTGGGTGGGGACCGACCTGAAGTTGCAGAAATCCCGAGCTCTCGCAACTCTGGAGTGCGCGGTCCTCCCCTCGTGGTGCGAGTGCGGGGGCTCCGGGAGGGTCTGCGGAGGGGAGAATCTGCAAGCCGAGCAGCGGTGCGGGCGGCGGGACGCGGGCATGGCCCAGCTGTCGGTGATCCCCGGGTCGGCCACAGCGTGGACAGGTCAGCAGGGACCCGCGCGACAGCTAGGGTGGAAGAGACTACTGGAGCATCGGCCCTATACCCAACTCAGTGCAGGGATGCAGGGCACCCACGCGGGAGTAGGGGGCCTCTGGGTGAAGCGGCTGGGTGGACCCTGGCCCTCCGAGTCAGGCCCGTCGACGCTGCCTGTCCCCAGATCGCTTTTGCTTCCCCTCCACCAACACCCCCCCACCCCCACCCCGCGCGACTGGCACAGACTTGGGTGGTGGACGCGGGACCCCGGGAGGCGCGCGTGGGCGGGGCGCTGTGCAGTCCCCGCCCCCTGCGCGCACTGGCTGTTCCATGTGACGTCACGCTCGGCTACAAAAGGCACGGCGCGGTGCGTTTGCGGCGCTGGAGGAGCTCGAGGCTGAGGGCGCTGGAGTCCAGGAGCGACGGGGTCGCTCGGCTGCGCGCGCCTCAGCGATGTTTTACTCAGGCCTCCTCACCGAGGGCAGCCGCAAGGAGACCGACATGAGAGAGGCGGCGTCGCTGCGGCAGCAGCGCCGGATGAAGCAAGCGGTGCAGTTCATCCACAAGGACTCCGCCGACCTGCTGCCCCTGGACGGCCTCAAGAAGCTGGGCTCGTCTAAGGACACGGTGAGCCCCGCGGCTGCGCCCGCCTCGGGGTCCCCGCTGCCTGGTCACCTCAGCGCCGAGCGGCCCCAGCCCGACCCTCGCCGCTTTCACTGAGTCACCGGCAGCTAGCAGATGCTCGGCCGGGAATCCTCTACCCCCAGTATCCTCCCGCCGGGGTTGCTCCCTCCCTCCTCTCCGCCTTCTCCCTCGGGAGGAGGAGACCTAGTCCTGTCCTCTCGACCTCAGTCTCCTTTCTCCTGCTGATTCTTAATTCCGAATTCATTCGGTTCGTGGGATATGAGCCTCGCAGTCAGCCCTATGACCCTGATAGAGGTGACTGGCTACAAATGGGGAGTGAGAAAGAGTGGAAAGGGAGGTTCTTGACAGTCACCATGTCTAGATGACTTGTTAAGTCTACTGTTGCCCTATGCAACCATCTGCTTTTTTGACCTTCCATCCTGAGTGGGGCGAGAGGAGTAGAATGTCCAGGTTCCCTGAACCCCAAACAGCTCTTCATCGTTTTCATCTCTCCTCCTTCTCTAGCCCTGCCCCCAAGGAGTGGGTGGAGGGAGAAAGCCAGGCTGTTCCATCTCATTGACCAGCTAATGTGTTCACGTAGTTGGAGCTGGGGCTAGTGCAGTCTTTCTTCTGGCACCGTTGTTCTTGGCATTAAGTAGAAGCCCAGGACTGACTGGCCCCTGGGTTCAAAGACCATGCTGCCCTCTATCTATAAAATAAGGGTGGATGGTTAAGGATTACCAGGGAACTGCATCGGATTCTCATCCCTCAGTCATTGTAATGGTTCTGGTCCATGTTTAACCTTGTTGTTTTATCTGGACTATTTTTCTTGTACTTTGATGGTTTTCTTGAGTTCATAATCACTTTCTTCATCTGGAGAATAATTTATGAAACATTAATTAAATGTCTTTTACAAATGAAATAAGTGCTCTACATAATCTTTCCAGTATTTTTATATATTGAGCTCTTGGAATGTTTCATTTTGGATATGGTTATTGGCCCTGGTTCACTCCAAGTGCCATTTCTGCCCCAGGATGGCAATGGAGAACAGAGCTTCTGTGTCTGTTTTTTTTGTTTAATTAATGACATATCAATATCAACACCAGATTTTCCCTTTCTACCATTAGTTACTTATTTGCAGGGGAAATCTACTCCAGTTATCTTGCTCTGTTTTTTGAGTTATATTTTCTGCACAAGCCACTGGATAGTTGATTTGATCATGCTAACCCAGAGTGATGAGTGATTGGAATGTATTCCTGTCTCTTCCCTTTTTACCTTTAAAGCAGTCTAGATTAATTTAGCAAACCAGATCCAAGTCTTCTTTCCTTTAGACCAAAATAATTTTAGTTCCTAGAAGCATTAGGAATCAATAAAGGGGGAATTATTGGGAGAAGAATTACAATGTGAACTTTTTTCATGTTGGATTTAAGATAATTGACATTTGGTTGTCCTGCATCATTAAAGACCCCACCCTGCCACCCCCCACACATCAAAGAACTATCTCAGCGTCTTTCCTAGGATTGCTTTTACTATTTCATGCTATGTAAAAAAAAAAAATCCCATTTGCTTTTCTGACTATTCTGTCACAGTTGACCCACCAGGAGCTGACAGCATAGAACATATCATAAGGCGGCAAAGAGGATGCATTCTCCAGAAGTAGGGCATTGCCATACATGTGACACATGATAACTGACTATGAAGCCCTGAACCATGGTTCACACTTTCTGTACCCATTATCCTGGAATTAATTTCCCTCTTTCACTCTTCTCACACCTTTAATGTGCAAGTGATTGCACAGAATAGTCAGAACAGGTCACAGAAACCCGGGCAGGACTAGGAGAGATGCAAGTGCTGGGGTGAGACAACATATTTTAAGCTCTCTTGGAGCTGATTTTGCAGCCTCAGTACAATCTTCCAAGTAATCTTAGAAGTACATTCTTGTCACTCTGCTTTATAAATACATCTGATAGGCTAGACCAATGTTGACTCTATTTTCCCCTCTCTAGAAGTTAAATTTGGAGGGTGTTAGAATTAATCGAATAGTTCATATTTGAAGTAGTTTTACAGGACAGTCTCAACAGAAAGGGGACAGAAAAAGGGAGGGTATGAGGAGAGAAGACAAATTAGCTTTCATGACTGGGGTTTGAGCAGTGTGAAGACAGTGATTTGTTTTTCCTCATCCTAGTAACTATTTGAATTATGCTGCTGGCTTTTCTGAATTATCTACTTTATACTATGCTGCTTCTATAATGTTCCCCTTTCAATACCAGCTTGCTAGCCCTTTTTGGGTTGGCAAAGGGCACCATAGGCAATTCAAGATGGTCATGATCTCTTGGCCCTAGGAAGATGCCTTTGCCCAATCCTTATGTGTGTGGAGTTGGCTGCTACAAAGTCTGTTGTGGAAATTAATCTTATTTCTTTTTTTTCTTGGTACCGGAGATTGAACTCAGGACCTTGCGTTTTCGAGGCAGGAGGCTGAACCACTGAGCTAAATCCCCGGCCCTATTAATCTTATTTCTTATGTCTGGCTCTCTTATTTTTCCTTTCATTGTATTGTTTATTTTGTATTAGATTAAGAACTAAAGCCAGAGAGCTGAGTAATATATTTACTTTTTAATCTTTTAAAAAAAATTTTGTTTTTGTTTTTTTGAGACAAGGTCTCACTATGTAGTTCAGGCTGGCCTTGAACCCACTATGTAGCCCAGGCTGGCCTCAAACTGAAGGTGATCCTCCTCCCTCAGCCTCCCCCATGCTGGGATTACAGGCATGTGCCACCATGCCTGGGCATTTTTTAAAATAAAATCTTGATGAAGCTTGAGGAAAACATCTTCATTCTTTTTTTTGGTCATTATTTACACATCATGGCTGAGAAGATTTTAATTCATTAAGTTTATTGGTACATTTTAGATACACAATATGATGACATTCATCATTGGGAATTTGTACCTTTACATGATATATCTTGGCTCTTAACATCTTCATTCTTGACATTTTGTCTATTCTAATTTCTCTTATTTCAGCTACTAGGTTCATAAAAGTTTTTCTCATTGTGCTAAAGGCATAATTTTAGAAAATAGTATGTTGTATGTTATCTCTTATATGTGACCTTGTTACTAAACTGTGTCCATTAGGCCATATCCTTGTCTGCAGTAGAGAGAGGGTTTTTCTTCTCTATAACTGATTCTGCATATAGCCAAATGCTTTAGCCAAATTGACTAGAATTAGGAATAGAGACTAAAAAAAGGATGGTAGCAGATAGTAAGGCAAACTGACCATGAAATTCCTGATCTGAAATACCTGATCCAGAGCAGCCTAGGGTGGTGTCCCATGCCACAAGTCTTGGGCCAGAGAACTTAGGAGCCTTAGAAGGGAAGCATGAAAATTTCCTGAACTGCACTGCATCCTAGTTATAACGAACATTGTCTGAAGACTTCCTGTGTTCAGCAGATAGTCTAGGTGGTGCTGGGACTACATAAATAAAAATAAAAGTTTCTCTGACATGGAGTTTATAAGTTAGGGAGAAAGACAGGGAAGATTAGTTAATTTATTACACAGATATCTATTGACCACCTATTACATGTCAAGCAATAATTTGAGTATTGGAGATAAAATGGTGAACCAAAACAGAGATCCCACCCTCATGTAACTTGTATTCTTGTGGGAAGAGGAGAAAAATAAAATTAAGTAAATATATCAGGTAAATAAGCTGGGTGTGGTGGTGCATGGCTGTAATCCTAGCACTTGGGAGGCTGAGGCAGGAGGGTCACCATGAGTTCAAGGACAGCCTGGACTACATAGTGAGTTCAACACTGGCCTGAACTACATAGAGAGACCCTGTCTCAAAAAACAGTAATAACCCCGTGTGTGTGTGTGTGTGTGTGTGTGTGTGTGTGTGTGTGTGTGTAATATGTATCAGGTAATAATCAGTATTATGGAGAAAATGAATCTGAGTAAGGGCAGTAGGGAGGACAGTGGCCAGGGTTAGGTGGATAAAGGCTTGCTATGTTTTACAAAATGGTCTGGGAAGGCCTTTCTGATAAAAGAGTGCATTCAAGGGGATAGGAAAAGAAATGAGGGAGCAGAGTATCTATGGAAGGAATATTCTTCTAGGCAGAATGAACAGCAAGTGCAGAGGCCTTGACATCCAGTGTGCTTGATGAGATTGAAAAACTATGAGAGGGCTAGTGCAGCTAGAGTAAAATGAGCAAGGGGAAGGTGACATGCGATAACATCAGACATGTAGACTTAGGGCCTTGTAGTCCATTTTTCAGGCATTTGTCTTCTAATCTGAGACGGGAAACCAGTGAAAGATTTTGAGCAGAGGGCTGACATGACATGACTTACTTTATAAAAAACATTACTCAGGCTACTGTGTGGATTAGATCACAGAAGGGCTAGAAACAGGGAGACTGATTGGGAGATTACTCTACAGTAATCCAGGTGAGAGACCATGGTGCCCCAGAGCAATGTAGTAGTTATGAAGGGAACAAAAAAGATCAAATTCACCTGCTGCGCAAGCTCGAGGACCCGAGTTCGATCCCCGGTACCAAAAATAAAAAAAAAAAAAGATCAAATTCTGAATATATTTTGAAGGTCAAGCTGGCAAATTTAGTTGATGGATTGAATGAAGACTCTGAAAGAAAGAGTAGGTAAGGATTGCCTCAAGGTTTTTGATCTAGCAAGTAGAAGAAACAGTTGTCATTGAAATGGATAACACCACAGGGGGAACAGGCTGGGGATAGGGAATAACAATGAGTTTGATTTTTGAACGTTGAGCTTGGGATGTGGATGTTGGTAAACATTCCACAGGAAGATAAATACCACTACCAGGCACCCTGTGCTCTTTGACAAAAATGTTAGTAAGAGCACAGAAGGGCATTAGGCATTCTTACTCTGGCCTGGTATGATAAGGGTGGAGACCAACAGCTTCACCATTCCCTGTGAGCAGCGGGCTGTGAGGTGGAATGGAGAGAATGCTGCCTCCATGGTGTGTGTGTGCTCTG